TAGGCTTTGGTCTACGTGTGGAGTAAGAAAGATGACCAATGAGAACAAGTAACGAGACTATACTTTTGTAGAGTTTGGTCTTCCCTTTTGGACTGGGATTGCCAACAGGCTGGTTTTATGAGCCATAATTTTTCCATGAAAGTCATCAGATAGAACTTTCCACACTAACTATAATAGGGAAGGATCTGGAATAGAGAAAGGAATGCCCTGGAAGCTGCTTTAAAGTCTCAGACTCCCTTCTCCAAAACAATTTGCATCTTCCCAATAATTTGCTATTTGGCTGGCTTGGCTATCATTTCTGTCCTGTCACTGTGGCCACTGGGATCTTATTTCTCCTTCCAAAATCCCCTTTCCCTATCCTGATGTATGCATCAGAACTGCCCATGCAGTGATAATGCAGGTAAATGTTTAATGATTAGTTTTTCAAGTGGGAAACACCTTGGCTTATAGCATTGCCAATTTCCATGGTGTAAACACTGCCACCACAGCCAGTTTCAAGCTGTTCCCATGAGATCACCAAACATGGGGATGGTGGCACATCTTTATATAGAATGTTTGCCATACATATATGATCAAGGTAAATAATCTCAAGAGCATAGAAAATAAGAGTAGTGAAATAGTTAGGAAGTGATGAGTTTCGAGTATTTATTACTTTTGTTTTAATAGAACTTAACTGTAAATTAATTTAATATAATTTAATTTTTATATAATTTAATTTTTAATCATGGCTATGCTTAACAATTTGTAAAATTCCTAAAAAATTTAACAACTGTTACATAAGCCAGCTCTAATATACCACTCTGTCTTGGTCTGGGAAAAGATGGAGTAAAGGAAGAAATGAAAGGGTGTATTTAATACTAAAGTACTAAAAGGCCTCTATGCCATTCAGACTTTATGCCTGGCCCTTCTGAGCGTGGGTCCAGAAATTCCTAGAAATGACGTAGTTGGTATTGGTCTGAAGCCAGGACTTTGGAGCAAGACACAGACTTCCAGTCCCCGCTGTACCGTCTGCTAGCTGCGTGACCTTAGACAGTGTCTAACCCCTCTTTGCTTAGGTTTCTCATGGGTGAAATAATAGTACCTGCTTCATAAGGTTGTGTGTGTACGTGCTAAGTTGCTTCAGTCATATCTGACCCTTTGCGACCCTGCAGACTGTAGCATGCTAGGCTCCTCTGTCCATGGAATTCTCCAGACAAGAATACTGGACTGGGATGCCATTCCCTTCTCCAGGGGATCTTCCTGACCCAGGGATTAAACTGGTGTCTCTTACATTTTCTGCATTGGCAGGTGGGTTCTTTACCACTAGTGCCACCTGGGAAGCCCTCATATAGTTGTAATGGGGATTAAATGAGGTAATATGCTCAAAGTACTTAGCCCACTAAGTTACATAATAAAACCTCAATAAGTGTTAGCCGTGAGTACCGTTGTGATTAACCTGATCCATTTCTAAAAGGTCCACAATCTCCACAGGTGGTGATGGGATCTATCCTAGATGCAAATTCATGGAGAGAAGGATAATTAAGGCCATCTTCCTTACATGATCTGACTCCATTATAAACAGACCATTTATGTAAACTCAGCCTCAAGGCTGGGATGTCCTTTTCACCATACTTCCTGCTTGAGGTTCACATGCTGGTAACTCATTTCTTGCTGTAAAAGGCTGCAGTCATCCTAGGCCTACTTTAAAATGCAAATAAAACTGATCCCCCATATCCATGGGTTCTGACTTGACTGTACTAAGCCATTTTATATGAGGGACTTGAGCATCCATTGATTTTGGTATCTGCAGGTTGGTGGTGGGGGGGAGGGTGGGGGGCTTATCCTGACCCAGACCCCTGAAGATATAGAGGGCTGACTGTACTCTTTAGACAGTGGGTAATAAGTTTGCACCTAGGTGCGCAAGTGGCAGTCAGATCCCAGAGCTCTATGTTGAGCTGACTCCTGGGAATCTAAAAATAAGGAGACTGCAGTGGTTGATTGGACACAGAGGGGGGCCTGAGGCCACTGAAGACCCCACTCTTTGGTTCCCCCCACCCCCCCCGCCATGTCCCTCCCTACACTTCCAGGTTGACCAGTTCTTTGAGCTGAGATGCCTCTAAAATCAAAGCCACTTCACACTCTGTCTCCCTGCTCCCCATGTGTCCCAGAACCAAGACCCAGTGGACCCTGGGGCCCACAGTCCACAGATGAGGTGGGAACATGCTGACTCTCTGTAGTTAGTGGGCCAGGTTCAAGTCATGATTGTGACCTTGGGAAGGTCATTTCATGTCTTTGAACTTCTATGTTTTTTAATGTATTAAAGATGCTGATGAGAATTCACCCAAGAATCAAATGGGGGAGCAACTTTGTGATGATAAAGCTCAGCACAGCACACCTTGTTGGTACCATTTTCTATCCCTGCTCATAGTTTCTAGTTTGCTCCTTTTTCTTCCATTCTTCACACACGGCTATAGAGACAAAGGCCTTCTTGGGACCATCATAGATGGATGACAATAACACATCTCTACCCTGTAGTCTAAAACGTTGCTGGGAACCAAAAATATCAGTTCCTGCCTGGGCTCACTTATTCATAATACAGTCTTGTGTGCACTAATAATAACCTGAAGTTATTCTCAGTTTGGCTCATGTAACTTGGCACTACAGGAAGGCAGAGATGATGTCTGCAGGAGCCCTAAGGCCCTGTGGACAGTAATTAGACTCTCGCTGAGGTTTGGTTTGTTTATCTTGGGCATCTGTGATGCTACACAAATGTTTCAAAGTGGTGGAGGACCAGGAACCAGAGAAGGAATGCAGCTTCCAGAGACAACAGACTTACAGTCAAGTGGGGAGGGTCTTAGGTTCTGGGGAAGGGCCTGGGGGTAAAGGAAGGAGCCAGTCTCTCCCCACATGAGCCAACCCGTCTCTGCTTGTTCCGTTCTTGGCAGGAGATGCTGGCACCTTATAGGATGCTGTGACAGTGCTGAAAGGAGCCCACGACTCTTTCCTTGGGGCTGCAGAGATGGCGTCTGCCTCCACGAGTAACACGATGTTTATTAGCCTCCTTAGGGCTCCTAGAGAATGAAACCCCAGCTCCCAGGCCCCAGCGGTTACGGTCTAAGCAGAGGGGGCTGTGTTATGCACTCCTCCGTGGGCTGGCACCGCCCTTCTGGAGCTGGAGCTGGAGGTGGACGGCACAGGTGGCCACAGGATTGTTGGGGGAAGGGAAGGTTGCTCTTGTGTTTCAGGATCAGTTATTTTTGGCTGAGAAAAGATGGCTGATGCCCAGCCAGGGCAGGCTGCCTGAAACTAAGTCCTCAGTGGGAGGCCTGCCAGGACCTAGCCGAGATAGCCGAGGTGAGGGAATGGGGCTGAGAGCAACGTCTGGTTGGCGAAAGGTCCACTAGTGAGCATCATGTGGGGCTCGGGGGTCCCATGCTTCTGGTGCGGATGGGGAGTGGCCAAGGAGAGGGCAAAAAATGACAAAAGGAGGTAAGAGAGGACCTCCTGGGAAGATTTACAGGTGTTCAGCTTCCATTAGAAGAGACGTTGACTAAACACGCTTACTTTCTTCAAAAACCCAAGAGACTTCCACAACAAGACATTGGCTTATTGTTCTGACAGCTGAGTTAAGAGAAAGCCATCTACACCTGCAGGCAATGTGGATTTTTGTGGCCTCTTCATTCACCCTGCAGCAGAGTGGTGGATGCAGACTGACCAGTGATAGCATCTGTGTGCCAAATGGGGCCCTTGGCATGTTTTATGTATTTATTTTTTCAGCTGCATCACGTGGCTTGTCAGATCTTAGTTTCCTGACCAGGAATCGAACCCGTGCTTCCATCATTGGAAGCGTAGAGTCTTAACCATGGACCACCAGGGCGTTTTAGAAGTAAGCAAAGGAAAGAGGACCCTCCCAGGTGTCTGAGTGATGGGGCCAGGCCTCTGGGCCAGAGGACCAGGTGCACCCTCCAAATTCCTTGTGTCTGCTGCTGAGTCATGGTTCTGGTTCTGAACTGTCGAGAGCACAGAGGAATCTTTGCTGGATACAAAAGTGCTCCACCCCAAGGGAAAACACTGATGGATTTTGTAACTTGATAATAAAGCTCTCTCTGGGGAGAATGCCCTCCCAAAGGTAGGAGATTAATTTTATCCTTTGCTTTTTTTGGCTGCTTCTCTTCCCCTGCGTCTTGCCCATTCTTTTCTATGACTTGCTCAATGAAGGGCAAAGAGGTTTTCTAGAAAGCACCAAACCCTTGAGGCCTTTGATTTCAAAGAAGGAAAAAATGGCCCGGGCTGTGAGGGCAAGCTCACAGCAGCCTGCCTGCCAAGAGAGGGTTCAACCTCTTGCCTGCTCCCCTGAACCCCAGGATCAACCCAGAGGACACATGGCATGAGGGTACCTCCAGCCCCACGCCCTGGAGGAGACACTGTCTCGTGTCTAAGCAGCGTGGCCCCTGAGGCTCCTGCAAAAGTGGCAGAGTTGTGTCTAGCTGGTCTGCAATACACACCCTTGAGCTGGCCAGGTCCTCTTCCGTAATCTGCTGTCTCCACACCCTTCGGAGTTAGCTCACTCTGAAACAGACTGAAAGGAGGAGGGGGAAATTATGTGGACACTCAGTCTCCTTTCAACCCCAAGAGTCTGCCTCGTGACCTCGGTGACTGTTGCTCATTCGAGCAGCAGGAGAGAAGGGAACTGAGGGTGGCAAGCAGTCACCATTCTGATGGAATCCGGTTAAGAAACGTTCTGTAAAACTACACCAACAAATCAGGACAAACGTCACACCACAATCAGGACAAACGTCACACCAAGGTCTTGCATCACAGGATGTTTACATAATATAATGCCCATGGCAGACAGATACCAAATACCACAAAGTACCTGAGACAAAAAAAAGAAAGGAAGGAAGGAGGGGAGGAGGGAGAATAGAAAGGAGCCTGGAGTCCTGGCACGCGGAGATCTGAGGGCCCAGGCAGAGTTTCTCGGGGGAGGAGTGGCCACATGTGAGCGTCCGGTGGCCTCCGTGTCACATCTCAGCCTCCGCGGAGCAGATCTCTGCGGCTGCGGAGATGGCGATCCCGATGGCCAGGCTGCCGTTGTCGGAGAAGTGCTGGGCCAGCGAGGTGTTGATGACGAGGCAGTCCCCGTTGGTGATGACCGAGTCCACGCACTCCAGGACAGACCGGGGCGTGGCCTCCCACTTGAGACACCGGTGGTTTCTGTTGAGCTCCAGGCGATAGGTGAAGCCGTCGGCCTGGGTGGGGGTCCCGATCAGCATCATGGTGGCAAAGAACTGGGGGTGCCCTGCGTACCTCTCCTGTTTCCTGAGCACCAGCAGGAAGTGGTGGCCGAAGCAGGAGTGGATGATGAGCCAGTCGGCCGGCGCGGGGAGGTGCATGTCCATGGCCAGGAAGATGATGTCGGCCCCCTGGAGAATGTCCACCCTGTGCATCTGCCGCAGGTGGGGCACCACCACCTCCAGGTGGCCTTCCCACTGGCAGGAGAACAAGGGGCACAGGCAGGGCATCACCCGGGCGGCGTGCAGCCCCGCCTCCGGGTGGTGCAGGTGGTGGGGCCGGGCGTGGTGGCAGAGGCGGTGGTGGGGCTGGTGCTGGCAGCGGTGCTGGCAGTGGTGGTGCGCGGGGAGGTGAGGGGCGTAGCTGCTGGGCTCCGGGGCGCTCTGAGTGACGGCGTGTCGGCTGGACACATACTGTGAGAGAGACAAGAGACTTGGTGGGTTAGTGGCCGTGAGATCAGTCTCTCTGGCTGAGGACCACCCCCCCTAACCCCCAGGTTCAGCGTGTGGAAAGCAAACTCTCCAATACAGGTGATGACACGCGGTCGCTCAGTCGTGTCTGACTCTGAGACCCCATGGACTGTAACCCGCCAGGCTCCTGTGTCCATGGCATTTTCCAGGCAAGAATCCTGGAGTGGGTTGCCCTTTCCCTCTCCAACTGATACAGGTAGAGAAAGCTTTATTTCGTAAAAAAAAAAAAAAATAGAACCACCAGACTGTTCTCTGAAATGGCAGCACCATTTTACATTCCCATCAGCCAAGTAAGAGGGTTCCGATTTTTCCATGTCCTTGTCAACACTTGTTATTATCTGTTTTGACAAATAGGTTAATGAGACTGAATTCATTGTTTTGCATATTTTGCCAAATTTAGATGCTGAAACATTGTACATCTGTGTGTCATTTCAGGACAGAATGTAAATTTACCCAATTGAAAACAGAACCTCCTTCAAAAGATTCCTCCTGCAAGAAGAGATTTTCCAAATGTGTTAGTATATTATTAAAAAAAATACAAAAACAACTTAAAAAATGAGGGACGTGGTGGATGTCTTGAGTGGTTGAGATTCTGAAGACTCAGTCCAAGAAAATGCAATATTTATGCCTTTCTGATTCTTTAATAAGATACTCAAACAGGCAATTTCCCCCTTTGAATAGCATGCATTATGATGGTCATAAGGAACAAAGAAATCAATTTTTCTGTTCTTTTTTGATATTGTTGATATTTTTCTGCAGGGTCAGGAGGTCAATGGATTCCCACTCCCATCCGGCCCTATTTTATCATTAGTGTTATTTTTAGGACAAAATTTCGGTAAATAACCATTTGTCCTTCCAGTGCTGCTGGGGTGGTACTATCTGAGATGCCTGTCTGGGCTGTAAAACCACCATGGCATGCAGAGCTGACTGTGTGCAGCTGGACTGTGGTCCCCAGGGCGGGGGTCTCCGCTGTGACTCCTGGGACTTGGCTCTACCAGGCACACATCTGTCCTGCTTTAGACTCATTGTTAAAGAACAACTTACCAGGGGCTCACCACCAGGCTTCCTAGGTGGCACTAGTGGTAAAGAACCCACCTGCCGACACAGGGACACGTTAAGAGGCGCAGATTCCATCCCTGGGTTGGGAAGATCCCCTGGAGAAGGGCATGGCCACCCACTCCAGTATTCTTGCCTGGAGAATCCCATGGACAGAGGAGCCTGGCGGGCTACCGTCCATAGGGTTACAAAGAGTTGGACACAACTGAAGCGACTTAGCAAGCACACACGCAGTATTGATATAAAATCAAAGTAAGGAGGGAGTCAGGAAGAAACAGCACAGCCTGCCTTTCTTCTCTCCCCCCAGCCCCTGCTGGTGCCTCCTGTTGGCTGAATGCAATCAGAAGAAAGCCTGGGAGATGCACTCAGCCAGGGTCAGCTCCCGCTGGAAATGCGCTTGTGAAGAGGCAATGTCCACCTGTATGCAGATGTCTCGGTTCCCTCCTCTGTGATGTTCCTTGATCCGACCACGCTGGGCTTCCTTGGCTGAGCTTTGATAAGGCCGATGAGAGGGAGGTAGGGAGGGCTGATACCTGTCCACAATCATTAAGCCATCTGACGAAAATGTATACACCAGCTGACACGTGCAGCGCCTGGGCAAGGGCTGAGAATACTGAACAGGGTACGATCCCTGCTCCCGTCTCAGCAGTTCACTGTGATTAGTATAACATAACACAGTGCAAGGATGCAGGACGCCGGGAGGGGCTCTGAGCGTGCAAAGTGGGGGCAGTAGCTGTTCTGGTCAATGCGAAGTGCTGTCTACCCTCGGTGAAGCAGGAAGGGTGACGCTCTAACAAAACGGGCAAAAGGTTTGTGAGTAGCAGGTTCCAAGGAGCCGGATCTGAAAGAACATAGGATGTTTAAGAAATGAGAAATTCCAAGTGGCTGTTGCTAGGGGATCTGGCAGAGATGGCGAGGAGCAGGGCGGGAGAACCATCGGACCATGCCGCCAAAGAGTGGGCACGGAGGTGGCACCCAGCACTTGGGGCAATTGGGAGGAGGGCCCAAGGGCTTTAGGGAGCCCCCTTGGGCAGTGCGATGCCCCAAGCCTAGCGGTAGAGCGTGCACTCAAGATGGGACCACAGTGGAGTCCTGGCACTTGTCCAACCCCTGGACTCGAGCCATGATCGTTCCAGCCAGACTCTCCCCTTCCTTCCTTCTGGCCTCATCTTCCCCTGGCCTTCCCACTGTTTAATTGCTGCAGGGTAACAAAGCCTCCAGCGGTGTATTCCAGAGTGAATGACTATGCAAATACATCCTAAACTCACTGAGACTCCTGAACTCGCTTGCTGTGCCCTGGGAAGGAGCTGAGAATAAACACAGCCTTAATCCTTCATTTCTTCCTGCTCCTTCTCCTGATGCAAAATATGTTTCATTTACACACACAATCTTCAGGGTGAGCGAGGTCACAGGGCCGCTGGCTGGGAGAAGGGATTCTTTTAATTGGCAAAATGCTAATCGTTTTGGAAAATGAATTCTAATCTTCCCATCTTATACAGTGGATGTGTGAGTAATTACTTTCCTTCACTAAACTGTTAATGCAACATTAGTGATTACACTAATTAAAACTAATGAACTCTTCCAGGCTGATAAACCCCTCAGTCAGTCCGAGGACGCCTTCCTTCCATTGGCTGTCCTTAACTTGCCATTTGGAAGAGAGATCTTGAATTAACCTTTAGAATAATTCGCAAAATTGGGTTTAGAAATGTTAGGCTTCATGGACTGGGTATAATTCTCTCCGCAAGCATTAGTGAGACCATTTCCACTGAGGGTGTAATTGAATTTAAAGACGTCTTCCTTAATTTCATCAGCCACACTCCCATGATTGGTAATGGCTATCCCTCCAAATCCTGGTGTCCAAAGAGGAAACCTGCCCCTGGAAACACCATGTGACCCTTTCTCCAGCCTCTGCTCCCTCTGATCTGTGAGCTCATTTGGAGGACTGCTCTGTCCTTCTGCCTGATTCCAGGAACAGTGCCATGCTAATGGAGGCATTTCAGCTGAAGGTGGGTTTTGCACCCAATTTCAAATGACAGTCATGGGTTTTGAGTTTGCTCATGTCCTTATTTATGAGAGTTAATGAAGTGAAGCTTTCAGTACTTTCAGCAATGCTATCGATGTATTTCACACACAGAAGAGAAGATGGGGAGGAGTTATATTTCAGGGCAGGTATCAGGACGTTGGAAAAGACCCCGATGCTGGGAAAGAGTGTAAGCAAAAGGAGGGGGTGGCAGAGGATGAAATGGCTAGATAGTATCACCAATTCAATGAACGTGAATTTGAGCAAAGTCCAGGAGATAGTGGAGGACAGAGAAGCCTGTTGGGCTGCAGTCTATCGGGTCAGAGAGAGTCGGACATGACCTCGAGACTGAACAACAACAACAACAACCAGTACGTTGGAAAACAGTCATGGCCAGAACCTAGCCGGGCATCAGGTCTGCAAAGATGGAAGAGTAATTGTACCTGCTCCAGGTCCCACTCTGTAGCGTTTAAAAATTCCCTGTTTCTGGCAAGGATGGTCAAGGCTGAAGGTATAGTGTTTCCCATTCCATTTTCTCGCCTCCCCCCCATCAAAACCTAGCATGACTGCACATGTGCACATGAAAGCCAGGAGGACTCTGGAAAAGCTTCCACCAAACAGTCAAGAAATAAGTTATGCTGAGATAGAAAACAACGATGGGGCTTTTATTTCCACTAGACTGTCTTCCTTCAAAAATGTGTGTTATGCTGCTTTTCCCTAGACTGTTATACTTAGAACACTGAATGAATGAGATCTTCATGTGGGCAGCATGATAATGTCTGTAATTTTCTTTAAAATGCTTCAGTTGAGAGATTGTGATAGAAATGTGTACATTTTTAACCTACACTCCAGGGGCTGCCAATTCCCTAATCAGGAATTCACACTTTGAGGTGATCACCTAACATTTTATCTGAAAGGCCACACTTCAGAGATAATAACTACAATTGCCTCGCTTAGTATCCATATTTCTGATCCACACCAGATGCTGCTAATTAACATTTCCACAGAGGTTTCCATTGGTGAAATTAGTAGTTTGTTAATCAGCGTAATAGATGTATGAAGATTGTTTAAAACATTTCAGAATAATTCTGTATTTTAAGGATGAACCCAGGAGTTTGTTCCATAACTATTCCTGAATCTAGCCACTGAGTCAAGGACTTCCCATGATCTGATGCCATCTCTAAGAATATCAGAATCTTTTTCTTGTTAGATCACTACATACATACAAACTGTTCCTGTTGGCAGTAAAAATTATGTAAATTGAGCAAGGAGACAATGGTTAGCAAATATACAGAAACTCTGAGTCCTGAGCTATATATGCCATGGGTGAGCACGTGCTAAGCTGCTTCAGTCATGTCCGACTCTTTGCAACCCCACAGACTGCAGCCATCTGTCCATGGGATTCTCCAGGCAAGAATCCTGGAGTGGGTTGCCATGCTCTTCTCCAGGGGATCTTCCCAACCCAGGGACTGAACTTGCATCTCTTACATCTCTTGCATTGGCAGATGGGTTCTTTACTACTAGTGCCATCCAGGAAGCCCCATATATGCTGTAACTAATTAGAGAAGAGGGAAATGAGTTATTACTGTGAAAAGAGGAAGATAAAAATTTGGGTGGATCGATTTTTAAAAACCAAGGTCTGTGGGTGAAAAGGGGCAAAAGGTATCCATACAGATGTCTACACAGGTACTGTTCCTATGGTCTCAGACCTCTCCTGACCAAGCTGATTGTCTTATAAATCCAGACCCTGGCTGTGTAGAAATATGTGGACAACACTGTGACAGCAAAAATATAACTCAGTCCTCAAGCACCCCGGGCCTTTCTTGAGTTCCTGGATCCTGGCCCGTGGCCGCCCAGCAGGTGTCGA